CAAAAAACTAAAATGTGTACACTTTTATTCTTAGGTGAAGCTGTAATAAAAACTTTTGACCGACAGCTCACGTGACTTTTTGCGTAGGCGTGCGCACAAATTTTCCGTTAAGTTTCAGCGGTTACTGTTGAATAACTTTGCAAATGTGGCTTATATGCACACCAAATGAGACTCCTAATTGTAAGTTGTAAAGATCAATCAGTGTACCAAATTTGAAAAATAAATCCATAAAAGTTAAATATGTTTCTCTATCAAATAAAGTTTCCGTACTTTTGGTGGAAAGAAAAAAACAAATAAGAAGAAACTCTATCAAAATTGGATATTTTATATCTCAGGTATTTCTTAACAGATTGCCTTAAATTTGATATGTAAAGTAAGGGTCCAGTAGAGTAGTGTTTCTCAAAGCCGGTCCCCGGAGTACAAATTGCCGGTCCGCAACGTCTCTAGATTTACCTGAATCTAGTCAGCCCCCGACAAAACATTTGACTGAACTTAGACTATAGCGCTTAGTCATAGGTCACTGAAAAGTGTAAAGGCCTCGAATTTGTCGAATTTCATTGTATCATCTCATTGCATTATCTCATTCTAAATGATGTACTCACAATAAAATTTTCTTTGTAATTCTAAATTTGATGCTTCTCTGAGTTTTAAGTTAATTATTGTCTTCTTATTCAATTCTTAGCACACCTTAATTCTTTGTTTCAGATGGAAAAACGCGGTCCTTTGGATAAGTTCATAAAGAGAAGACATCCTGAAAATGATGATAGTGAGGATATTTCGGTGGATTCGGGTGAAATTGGACCACCATCGAAAAGGAGGAATCGAATTAGCTACACTCGAAAATATGACTGCTCATATATTCAGTTTGGATTTTGTGCCATGAATGAAAATGGAGTGGAAAAACCACAGTGTGTGATTTGTGGTGAAATCTTGAACAATGACGCCATGAAACCCTCGAAATTGAAGAGGTCATCAAAATGCCAAACATGATGAATTGGTTTCAAAACCACAAGAGTTCTTTGAAAGGAAGTATGATAATTTGAAATCATCCCAGAAACAACTGCTCAATTTGACACACGTAACTGCTTGTGCACTGCGCTCTTCATATAAGGTTGCTCTTCGTATTGCCAAGGCAAAGAAGCCATTTACAGTTGGGGAGACACTCGTGATAGGCTGTTTTAAAGACGTATGTCAAGAAATGCTGGGCAAGGCAGTGGCACAGAAAGTATCCCAAGTTCCAATGTCAAACGACACTATTGCACGTTGCATCCACGATTTGGCAGAAGATATGGAAGATCAGCTCATAACACAAGTTAAATCGTCAAAGTATTATTCGTTACAGCTCGATGAAAGTGCTGATATTGCAAATAAGGCGATTCTTATGGTTTTTGTGCGTTACAAATACAAAGGAGATTTGAAGGAGGAGTACTTTTTTTCTGATTCGTTACCAACTAGCACAACTAGTACAGAATTGTTCAAGAGTTTGAGCAACCACATAGTTTGAAAATTCGATTTGAATTTCCAAAATTGTGTCGGCATCTGTACAGATGGAGCTGTACGTCATTCCGGCGTGATAGCCCAGATTAAAGCAGTGGCTCCGGATTGTAAATCAACACACTGTATAATTCACAGAGAAAATCTAACCATTAAGAAAATGTCACCCGAATTAAACTCAATTCTGAGTGAGGTTGTGAAAATTGTGAATCATGTGAAGGCCAACGCACTGAATTCAAGGTTATTTGCAGCATTATGTGAAGATGCGGGTGCTGAGCACACACAACTCATACTGCATGCTGATATATGCTGGTTGTCCAAAGGCAAAGTTCTCTCTCGAGTATTTGAACTACGACATGAGCTCACCCACTTCCTCCAGTTCAAGAAACCACATTGGTCAGAACTATTCCGAAATTCTGAATCTGTTGCAAAGCTGGGTACATGGCGGATATTTTTGACATCTTGAATACCTTCAACGTCTCCATGCAGGGACAATTGGCTACGTGCTTCACAATATCAGACAAGTTTGATGGAATGAAATGCAAGCTGGATGTGTGGAAACCTCGCGTGTCGAAAGATTGCTTTGATATGTTTCACAAACTGTCAGCAACAATAACTGAAACAGACTCGGGACTTGAGATGTCTGTATTGAGAGCCAAGATCAGTGAGCATTTGACGGCTCGGAGCGCTTTGAGATGTACTTTCCGTCAGAGGAAGACCCTCGAAAACGTAATGGATAGATCAGAAACCCTTTTTAACATCGGAACACCGATTGTCGGTTGCATTGGAGGATCAATTGCTGGAGCTTGCTGCTGACAGTAGCATGAAAATCCTTTTCCAATCTGCAGAATCCTTGGTGTGCTTTTGGATCAAAGCTAGAGTGGAGTATCCTGAACTGGCTGGAATCGCTATCAAAATACTTCTCCAATTTCCATCAACATATCTGTGTGAGACTGCTTTCTCAACAATGAATGTCATAAAGACTAAGTACAGAAACCATTTGGACATTCGAGCCCCATTGCGTGTTGCACTGTCTTCCATTGAGCCAAGACTTGATAAATTGACAAATAAAAAATAAACTCTCTTTTCACGCTGACAGCAATCCAATGATTCTTATATTGATGTAAACTCTACATTTATTAAAGCAATCCTTTCATAATGATGTATGTACGTATATATTTTTTTTAAATCATATAATAGAATAATTATGCATTTCTTATCAGAAAGTTTGAGAAACACTGCTCTAGGGTAGGTTTGGCAATTCCAGAGCACTGCAACTATAACATCAGATATGTAAAGAAAAAGAAAAAGTACAGCAAAAAGGTATTTCCATCTTGGTTGGAGCTATGGAACATCATATGGAGAATGATCATCTTAACTCCAATGTAATGAATGTTATACAAGGATGTGCACAGAGATGTGGGAAATGTACCTGAAAAAGCATTATTAGTTACCAAATGGTATCCTTTGTCCACTTTTAGAAAGCATCACCCTCTCATGAACTACCAGTGGAAAGGGTGGAATTTTATCTAGGGCAAAGACGGAGGTATATGTAACATGCAAGAGTACAGACTGGATGAATCCATTGAAACACAGAGTCTCATATTATAAAAAAAATTTTTTTTAATTGAATGATTGCACAATCCCAAATAATCCTGTAATGGTTAATATGGGTTTGAGGAAGTATTGTGTTTAACAGGTTACCACAGGTGACACAGGTGTGAATCCAAGTGATAACTAAACAAGTAACAGAGAATAACTCACCTGACAGGATTCCACCTGGCTTGAAGAATCAAAACTGAAGTAAATCGAATCCCAAAACGAAGAGATAACCAAAGAGAATCACTAGTTCACCAACTTTCGGCTCTTAGGCAAAAAGGTACCAAACTTGATCACAACACCTGATAGATGCAATCAAGCAGAGTTTGAATAGAAGGATCAAACAACAGCCACCAAGTAGGAGCGATAAGGCAATCCCTTAACTTTGAGTTACTCATCTGGGCAAATACTCAAAGAAGAATGTGGAGAGAAGTGTAGGCATACAGAAAGAAAGAAGTTTTTACAAGATTGACTCAGGGCATCAATGAGCAGAAAACTTATACCAGGATCTAAAGACCAGTAGAATGGAAGAATAAGGTTGACTGACAAAACAAAGGCATTGATTATTGGATGACAAACCTTTCGCACAGCCACTAAAACAGCAAAGAATGGTGGTTTCACTCTGTGTGATGAAGCCGACAAACTAGAGAAAAAAAGTCTTCCAAAATGTTCATCACACTAGGACTCAAAGGTAAGCAAGTTGAGAATGAAATCAAGGAAGTAGTGAAACAGCAGCAAAGTAAAGAGTGAATACTGCCCTAATTGTAGGTGTAAGCTACCACAGTGAATTGTCTGTTACCACTAACACAGATTGGTGGGATAGAAGTAGCAGAAACTTAAGACAAATTCATTAAACAGCCCAAAGTTCTAACATGTTGATGTGAGTTGTTTCTTCCTGATTATTATGAGGAATAAAAGAAGACCTTGCTGTTGTAAACTCTTGGTTCAACCAAAAACTGGAAAAACATGATAGTGACAGAAGAAATAGGCACGATGCATGATAACAGATCCAGAAGTCATATTCTAGTAAGAAACAAGGTCCCATTGGTGGTGTCACTAGCAAGTGTTCCACAATGGAATGATAATGTGTAGTGCCATTGTTCTAAAGGATGTCTTTGGCAGTAGGTCTGTGAGACTACAAGGCTTGCATTGCTATAGAAGGCAACTGAGTAGTTCCTTTAACTGTATTAACTTAAAATAGTTGTGTTCGTATTAAATGGGAATTGAGGTTACAGATGAGCTATTCAATAAATGTAACCAGCTGGATGGTCAACTGTTAGACAATGAATGAATGAACAAAAAGGCTGAAATAAACCAATTGTCCCTGTAAAAATAGTGAGTGTAGAAGACCAGCAAAAACTAAACAACTTGATAGAAATCCAAATGAAAGGGGCAGTGAACTTGTAAACTATCCTCAGTGTCAAAAAAAGAGGATGGTGATGGATGAATAGAAATAGAAATAAAACCATATTTTATGTCCACCATCATCATCCCATGACTGTAATGAATAAACTTTCACAAGATCCTCATGTTTTCTATTTGAAAATGATACATCTCCAGGAAAATGTGAGTTGAAATAGATCTAAGAACACTCTCAAACTCCTGATTTCTTCAGAACCACAAGGAGAAAGAAATAAAAACCTGGAAAAGTGTAATAAATTATTTCATCTGCTCTTTTCTGATGGAGATATGGAACTTTCCAATTCAGAATTTGTAAGTGATGAATTGGAAAGAAGAGGAAAACACATTAAGGCCATACTGAAGAATCTGTCGAACCCAAAGGTCTAACAGGAGAACAAATAATTCAAGACCACCCCACCTAAAAATCCAGATACGAGATTCATCCAGAACAGAAAAATAATTAAGTGGGTCAAGAAAACCAAACTTTGCCATGTCTATGTTAGCCACTTGGTAAAGTCCAATGGAACAAGCAGAAGTAAATAAAGGGGGGCAAAGTAGGAGTAAGAACATTACTTGCTGGCTGTCTTGAAATGAATGGCTACCAGAAGTAAGTTAGAATGTTAAAACCCATATAAGCTCCTGCTGGCTGCTTCTCCTGGATGGGAAACTAGTAGAGGTAAAAATTGTGCAAAAACAAAAGGTGCAGGGAGGAAGTTCTTTAAGGTTCAGAAGAAATGGTGGGGGGAGAAATGAGTACTGTGTTACAATGAAGAAGAGTCTGAAAATGAAACAAGTTCATAGCATGCAGAGCAAAAACTTAACTATGGATAAAATTAGAAACATTTGCAGCAACAGTTATTCACTTCAGAATTCATAGTGAGTGAGGTAGCTATCAGCACCACTGTCAACCAGAAAATATGTCTTATAGCAGGAAAGTAGATCCTACGTATTTTCTCCTGACATATGTGCAATAAGTCACATGGCAGGTGGAAGAGTGGAAAACTGGATAGTCGATGCATGCTCTGCATTGTGTAAAGGGCATTCAAAACCTAAAGTCACACAACTGTTAACAGCATGAGAACAACTTAACAATAATTTTTTTTGCTATTTCAGAGGTATGTCTATCTGATTTGAACTGAAACATGCTAACTCTTTGTACAGATAAAATTGCTTACCAGATACTTTCTCAAGAACTTGAAGAATATTTGAAAACTTAATATCATAACTACTCCCATCAGGTTTACTTTCATGGTTTTCTAAATCAGCAGCACCAAACGTATCTGAAAGCTGAATGAAAAGATATAAAAATATATTTATTACGATAATTAACTGCCAAGTAAACAAACTGTTGTAACCATACCTATGTAAAACAGTGTCTAATTCAAAGTAAATGTCTTAAATGCAATCACTTCTCTCTCTCTCTCTCTTTGGAAGCATAATGTCTGATTCAATGTACATGTCATTATTATATTGATAAAAAAACTGGTATTTCAAACAGTACTTCTCTTCCAAGAGTATTAAAAATTATGAATTTTAAAATAAAGTAAGGATCCTGCTATAAAAAGTAATGAAACAAGAAATAAAACCACAATCACAAATTTATAAAATTTAATCCTTACTTTGGCCTACTGATAAGTGTATAAAGCTGCCAAAGCAGGGATTAAGTTTTATAAATTTGTGATTGTGGTTTTAATTATTTTTTAATAACAGGATCCCTACTTCATTTTAAAAGTAATAATTTTTTAATACTCTTATTTGTTTATTGTTTATGTTGT